TGTCCTTTATTTTGTACATCAGGAAGGGGGGCTAGGGAGGGGTAAGTGGAAGGAGGTGAGGGAGGAATGGGGTACGTGCCCCCGATGGAGAGGACTGGGCTGGCTCTGTGGGCTTCTCGGGGTGGAAGCTCTCCTGAAGCCCCTTGAGATTGCTCCCCCCTCCGGATAGCAGCCTGCGGCAAGTGCAGCCGGGCTGATGGCCGAGTGCTGTGATGTGCTGAGTGTGGGCACTCAGGGCACTCCAAGCCAGGACTGCTTTGCAAGAGGGGAACCCCTGAGAACTGTCTGTCCGGGGTGGGGGTCGGGACCTTTTAAGCACAGCCCTCGGCTAGCCTGAGACAGCAGCTCCACGCTCTAAGTCCTAATCTGATGCCCTGCCGGCACTGCTTCCGGCCATCCTTAACCTTGGTTCAGGGTCCACTCAGTGTGGACATGCTAGTTCGAATTAGTAAAACGCTAATTCGAACTAGTTTTTAAGTCTAGATGCGCTAATTCGAATTAGCTGAGACATACCCTCAGATGCCACAGGACCACTCATTGTTTTTAAAGTTTCAATAGTTACTCATTCTGTGAGGCACTGCGTAGTCAGCTTGAACACTAGGGAATTATTGTCTCTAAAAAGTACAGCAATAAAATGCGGGTGTTGCAAGCAGTCCTGTGAAATTCAGTGCTAGTGACTAGGGTCCCACAGAACAAGTTCACAGCAGTGAGAGCAACTGCACGAGCTTTGCCAACCTTACCCTGCTTGGCCCTGACAATAAAGGTGCCATTTAAAGCCAATTGTGGGTTTAGTGAAGGTCCACCTATTCACTGGACAGGCCCACGGCCAGTCACCACCTCACCTGGAACAAACTGACTGGTTTGGATTTGAAAGGCAGCATAGAGATGGCAGGCCTTTCCGAAACGGGGATGAGAGACAATGCTTCCTTCTGAACACCAGAACACAGGCTTTTTCCTGAGAGCTTGTTTCATATACCTGTAGCCAAGGGCCTGATTTTAGAGGTTAAAAGGGACCAGGCAGAACAATGTTGAGTGTGATTTTAATATAATGGAACCTCCTCCTGTGATTAGCTGCTACAAACACATTTCAGTAAAAACCAGTTACTAACCTTTCGTAACCGTTGCTCTTTGTGATGTGCTGTTCGTGTCCATTCCAGTGAAGGTGTGCACATCAAACTTTTCCCTAGCAGCTTCTGTAGGGTCAGCCAGGGAGTGGCTCCAGTACATGGCACTATATATATATATATATCTCACCATGCTGACCCACCCCTCCCTCAATTCCTTCTTGCCAGCTAGGGAGGATATTGGAATGGACGTGACTGACCCTCCTCGAGGAACAGTTATGACACCTTAGTGCCGTTTTTCTTCCTCAAGTGCTTGTCCATGTCAATTCTAATAAAGGTGACTCCCAAGCTGAATCCCAGGAGGCAGAGTCAGTTAGCCACTGATTATAGGATGGCCCTGCCTACTGCATCATCATCTCAAGCCTAACAGTCAATGGCATAATGGACCATGAACATGTGAATCGAAGAGCAGGTAGCTGCCCTGCAAATGTCCTAGATTGGAACCAAGCCACCACCTTCCTTTCCTCAGCCATTGCCGCAAAGTCTATGCAAGGACACCCTGCTGACTGGCTAGCCACCGGTGGAGTCATCCCACAGCATAAATTTCCTCCCAAAAATATCGAGGTGCTGTGCCTCTTTGGTGCCAGAGCTGGCCGGCCCCACTGCTCCTGCTAGTTCACAGTAGAAACCAAGGAACATGAAAGGGGATGGGATGTAATACTTTCTGTCCACATGTCTGGCCACTGGGGGAATGGAAGCCAGTGTTTGCCAAATTCTGAGATTTCTACCATCTTTATGAAGGGCAGGGCTACCCCGAAAGACCCTTCTGGGGCCAGAATATCCATCATCGGGCCCTCAACCTCAGCCACTTCTTGCACCTGAATGCCCATATTATGGGCTATTCTGAGAAGTTCATGGAACGCTCTATGATCTATTGGGGGTGGTCCTGAAATGGATGCCCCTTGACAATTTAGGGTGACATGTCCCTAACATTACTGACCTAGAAGTCATGGCAGGCCTTCCCTGAGCTTGGTGGTATGCCCAGGGGGTCCAAAATGGCCACCAAGGAGAAGGAAGCCATTGTGGATGCCACTGCATCTGGTGATCCACTGTAGGGTGAGAATGTTCTTCTGGCTGCCCAGGAGCAGGTGGACTCACCCTTAGATAATGACGACATTGAGGGTGAAGACCATGGTGGGGCGGATGAATCCTGCACAGGGGTCTGGTATTGAGAGGAAGGCAAACAAGAACGGTGCTGGGGAAACTTGGTGAGGACCCATATGCACTCAGAGACCTTGATCTCTGACTAGGGATGTTAAAATGCATTCATTTTGGTAAACATTTAATTGCTGAATTTTTCAGAGGATACATGCTTACACACAGCAGCTCCCACCTGCCCCTCTGGCTCATTGGTTAACCATTTACACATGTACACTGTCACATCCCTATCTCTGACAGGCAAAATGGCAGTACCAGCAATTGGTGCCATGATCCCTACCCCAAGGAGGACCGGTACCATGGCCTCGGTGCCGGGGGTTGGGTAGGGGCTGGAGGCGGTGAGAGTCCCTCACCAGTACATCATATGGCTCCTGGAACAGCATCAAGGAGCAGGCTTCCTGTGATGGTGCAGCACTAGCATAGTGCAAGCTCCATACTGGGAAGCCATGCCAACCATCTGGTGACTTGGGCATGGTGCTGGTCAGGTAAAGGTGAATGCTTAATCATCAGACTGTGATGAGGGCACCTCAGCACTGCAGGCTTCGATGCCGTGTGGCCACTGCTGCAGTGCCACCATCTCAGGTCTCTGGCCACCTCAAATGTATCAGATGTAAATGGCTCTAACATGTCTGCCACTTTGTGATCTGTGGGGGAGCGCCCAGTGCTGGGCTCATCAGCACTTGTGGTACTGGAGCTGGCGGTGCCATCACCCTCTGCCTCAAGGTTCCACAAACTGAGGGGAACTTGGCAGACCGAAGAGGGGATCACGCTCTATTAGTCTCTTTATGCCCCTCAGCACTGGGGAGTTAGATCGGTGCTGAGGCAGAGGGTCCCGTTGTGGTACCAGTGATCTGTGGTGCCAAAGCTCTTTAGCAGCTTCTTCAGGTGGTGCTGTGTCCCGTACCGATGCAGGAGCACAGCGCACCAGCAAACTGGGTCCCAGTGGATCCAGTACCCTCAGCCTAAGTACCACTTCCATCAGTAGCTGCTGCAAACAACAATCCTCCTTTTTTGTGTGTGGCTTGAAGGATTTGCAGACCTTAAAATGGTCTATTTGGTGAGCTTCCCCCAGAATATGTAGACAGGAGTCGTGGGGGTCACTATTAGGCATAGGCTTATGGCAGGAACCACAAGCTTTGCAGCTTTGGGCCTGTGCATAGCACACCGCCCAAGGCAGGTGATAGCCGTTATCTACCACCTCAACTACTCTAACAATTAACACTAAAGTGAAAACAATAGCTACGAACAATAAATACAAACTCAACTAGGGAATGACGCACTTGTAGAGCAAGCGAGCAATGTTCCAGCACCGTTGTGGACAATAAGAAAAAAAACTCAGGGAGGGCTGGGTCAGCAGGATCATATGGCACCATATACTAGCGTCACTCCAGGGGGCTCCCTGGCTGACCCTACAGAAGCTACTAGGAAAAAGTTTCCGATGTCCGTC